GCCTGACATAAAGACCCCATATTGTATGTATCCATTTATATGAAATGTCCAGAATAGGTAAATCCATAGATATTTCTATGGATTGGTGGTTGCCAGGAACTTGGGGAGAAGGGGAAATGGGACTAAATGCTTAATGAATACAGGGTTTCTTTTTGAGATGAAGGAAACATTTTACAACTAGACAGAGGTGGTGAGTGCACAACACTGTGAATTGTTCAATTTAAAATGGCTAATTTTACGTTATATGAATTTTGTCCCAATTAAAAAAAAAAAACACAAGCAATTACAAGATATTTGGGGAAATTTGAATACCAACTAGATCTTCGATGTATTGAAGAATTATTGGTGATTTTTTGGCATAATGATGGTACTGTGGTTATGATTTTTAGGAGTCTTTACCGTTATATTAGTTGACTACCCTCCTATTTTGGGCAAAACAATCTTTGTATGGGTAGAGGTAGGGAAAAAAAAGGAAACTAAAATTATACTCTACCTGCTGGAAAGCTTTTTCTGCTTGACGTTCAGCATCAATAACTTGTCTCTCAAGTTGATGCATCTGTAAGGTAAGGAAAAATATAAAAATTTTAAAAATTTGTATTTCCCTTTTGGAAAAAGACTTAAAAATATCAGGATGCCACTAATTTCTTTAAGAATATTTAAAGTAGTTCACTGAATAAAAGTTACATACAATTAGTTCATTAAAGGCTCTCTGCATATTTAAAAATTGATCAAACAAAATGTCAAAATTTTGGTACCTTTCATACAATGTAATGCATACATACCACGGGAGTATTCATCAATAGAATCTTCTTCATTAAATTGTGAATTAGGAATTACTATTCAGCTCATATTAAGAACGATAAACTAAGAGAAAAGTAAGACTTCAAATACATTTAATGTGCTGATCAAAAAGTCACAATGACATCAGGGAAGTGGTGTATTCTCATAAACTCCATAAGTGATATGTTTAAGTCTGGACTGTCGGTAGTTTTACCTTCTTATAGATTGATGGAAAGAGTATAGAAGAGACTCTTTGATTAAACACACACACACACAAATATTAAAATGAATATTGTAAGTAAAATTTTAAAAGCTTTAAAAAGGACCCAATGCTAATTAACATAGCTGTTCCAGGTGTGCAATACACAAACCACGAAGTAAAACTCAATTTCGAATTCTTTTTTTTTCCTCATTGTTGAAGTCTGGCCAATTTCAGAGCCGCCTGTGCCTCGATCTTTGCTCATTTTCAGTTTTCTTGTGAATTGCTAACACAGACGCCCAGAACTTCTGGTCTACCTCAAACTCACGGCGGCCCCGCTGGCTCCTCAGCGGCCGCCAAGCCC